TGTTCCCCCCCCCCCCGGTGTTTGCTATCGGGGTTGGGTTGTCGTCGCGTGGCAACGACGTTGTAAAACATGCTAATTCACTTCGTGAACTCGGCAACCAGGTCACCTTTTTTTTTTTTTTTGCGGTAACAATAAGAGTTGTCGAGTAGATCATGTTGCGCGGGGTCGAGAACCCTCACTCCGCGCAAGGGGGATGATCGCACTACGTTGTGTTTAAATGGTCAAGCACCCTCGAGGCAGTTACGCAGTGCTTACAACTGTCTTTGGAAGCGAAAGCACTAGAGAATAAATTAAGTCATACGCAGCTGTCATCCGTATGCAAGGAAGTAAGCACAAGATGCCGAACACCCTCAGCAGGATGCAGCGCACCCTTCATGCGACTCGCCGAATATCTCACGGCGCTTCGCGCTTGGTGATGTGAGAGCCTGGTCCGGTGAAAACCCGGCGTGCTCCTTGCCGGCTTTGTAGGGATGCGAGGTCAATGGTCTAACGACTACGGCATGCACAACTATGAGTACACCTCCCCCCCCCTCCCGTGTACTGATTGTCGTAGCTCGATTTCTCCATAATACAGAGTAGGAGAAAAGAGTGGCGGTCCCGAAGACAGCGGCGTCAGAACTGTCTCGTCAAGAGCTTTCCGAAGACATATCGTTTGGCTTTGTACATCCTCTTCCGCCGTTGAGTAATGGAGCTGTGAAAATGGACCGAGGGTGAGTGTAGTCTACGGTATCATTGCTATGGGGGCATCCAAGAGGAACCACGCAACAGCTGGTGCCCGCGAGAACGCCTACCCTACAAGAGAATTAAAAAAGAAATGCTCATGCAAACAGAAAAACGGCGGGTTATCTTTTCACGTGGACGGCCCGACACCAGAAAACGAAACAGTTGCTCCGTCGCGAATCGTTCTTGGACCAAAGGATGGTGGTAGCGTTTTATCGGCGAGGTCGCTCGAGGTTTGGACGAGAAGAATTCCTTCCTAGGGAATTCCTTCCTAAGGTTGGGCTCAGTCAAACCGCACCAAGGTGCAGGTTTGCTTGTCCAGTGTGAATGCTGTCGCACTGCAACTCCAGGCAACGCACACACCTTGCAACGCGGAGCGAGCCGTGGCTCCGGTACGGCACTGCGGTGTGTTGCTCGAGATTTGTTTTGGTCAATGCAGCCGCGAGTGCTGATTGCAGCGTACCTCAGGTTCTTTACACTCCGTCAAGTGCAAGTGTGATGTCCCGTGTTTTTTTTTTGTATGTAACCCCTGCACCCCTGCTGTACCGTCGTGTTGCGCGGCCGCTTCACCCCCCCCCCCCCCCCCCCCCCNCCCCCCCCCCCCCCCCAGATCTTATGCGGAGCCCCGGACGCGGCGGTGAACTATCCCTGCTTTCACGGGGGGGAGACTCCCCTGATGGCGGCGTGCACTCAGGGCCACTTGGCGTGAGTGTTGCTACTGCTGTGGTTTTCACGGCGGCGGCCTCGTGTAGGTCCCTGCATGCGTGCACACGCGTACCTTGGACACGCTTTCATCCTCTCGATACATAATCGTGTAGCTTGGTGCGCTGCTGAACTCGATGGATGCTGTACCCTCGTGCTCTGCCCCGCCCGGCGTACTCCCTAAACCTGGCCGAATATATTGGTGCGGGCTCATACGTACGCACGCGCTCGCCGTCTCTCCTGCGTGGCGTAACTGGCCTTCGCCGTGACAACGTCAGCGTGGCGGAGTTCCTTGTCAAGGAGGCCGGGGCGAACGTGAACGCGACGAACCACCGAGGGGACACCGCGTTGAGCCTTGCGGCCTTCTGGGGAAGGGTGAGATGTACTCGTCTTGCGTGAAATAGCGCGGTTGAAGAGTTGTGGCATGAAATACATTAACACCCCCGACGGTGGCTGACAAGTTTTGCGGCTTTTCAACGCTTGAACACGGGGGCGGTGTGCGGGCGTGGTCGCCGCGCGTGGAACGCCTGTCTGGAGAGAGACTTCGGGTTGCGAGCATAGTGCGGAATATAGAAAGAAGGCCAGGGTAGCACTTTCCGGAATTCTGCATTTTTTTTTTTTTTCATCCATCATTGGATTCTGTCGTCTGCCCTTCTGGCCCTATCCTCCACTTCTACCAGCTAGACGACCCAACCGGGGTCACATAGGAGGGGGGGGTTGGACCCCCTCCTGCGGTTCCTGCCTGAGATATTTTTATCGCGAGAAGGGTACAGCAATCCCTTCCCTCGCGGCTTATTATTCGGTCAAGTTTACTAACAACGAGCTTTGCAGCGCGTCGCTTCCAACGGAGACCAGGGTTAATTAGCGAGAAAAATCTCACTCTGTCGAGACTCGAACCCATGACCTGGCCCTTAGCAGGCTACGAGGCTACCCACTAGACCACCGGGGCGACCGGGGCATATGTATGTGTGTGATGCACATACGGTGATCAAAACTGTTTTTTGCTCGAAACATGCAACAAATTAATGATGCATCACGCAACGGCAACAGGGCCGCGTCCACCGGCTGCCCTCGTATAAGCTACTATGGCTTGGTGTCCTCCTCGGTGGAGTTAATGCCATAGTCCCGCGTAAAAATATGGCTTGTCGCCGTCTTGCCGCTCTCTCCTTCGCCGGTAAAAAGGCTCACACACCCCGCGCCCCCGAATCTGCTTCCCTTTGCCGTTTCAAAGCTGGACTGCCTCAAGCTACTGCTGAGCCTCCCGGATACAGATACGGAGATCCTAAACGTGCAGGGCAAGCGGGCCGGGGAGGGCATGCAAGAGCTGATGCGGGACGAGAGCAACGACGAGGAGACCGTCAGGCTCCTCACGGAGAGCCGAGTCCGGCGGGGGATACTACGCTTGTAGCGGAGGCGGCGGCGACGGCGTCTCTTACAAGCGGCCGCTTGCCTGGAGCACACTGTGCTGATTTACACCTATTCAATTGTGCCGCTTCTTTGGCGCCTCTCGTGAAAGGCACAAAAGAAGGGGCGACAGGGCTAATATGTGTCAAGAACCGAGCAGCAGGTTACCCTTGTTTACTTCCCGGTGCCCCCCCACACGTGCCGTGCGCCATGCAGGCTCCTCGGCTTCGTGAAGCGAGCATTATCGCCTGTAGCGTAGCCCATCGAGTAGTAACACCTGCAGACGGCTCAGCAGCTGTTGGCACACGCTCGCCTCGTGTTGTCTCCACCTTGGCACTGCTGTGTGCAAGAGCAGGAAGGTTTGTGCAGGAAGAGTGCACTCCCTGCCGTTGTAAAGCTCTCTCAGGCTGAGAGGTTTACTTGAACAAGAAGGCCTGTCCTGAGACAGGGCTAAGTCATTCGCATTGGGGAGGGACTCTGGTAAGATCTTTGCGATCATTGGACAGCGGGCTTGACTTGCGCCCACACGCCCACACGCACCCGCCCACCCTCGATGCCCCTCTTTAACGTGGGGGGTTTTTGTTTTACCTGTAGCGTGCGCAATCTTGTTAGCTTTCCATCACGACGGCAAGGAATTACTGCAGCCAACGGGACGAGGGGGTAGGATCTCCAGGCTATCCTTGCGTGCCCGTGAGGGCGGGAGTTGGGGGGGGGCGGGGGGGGGGG